CGATTCACAGCAATTCATTATGGCGGGTGCGCCGTGCGCGAATCCCGCGACCGAGGTTTGCACTTTGCAGTTCCGACGGTTACGAAAGTTTACCTAACCTACAAAACTTTGTGTACATACAGTACACTCGCTATTTTGCAAAAATAGTGTGGAACAGGATACTAGAAGAATGATAACGAGAGACTGTGCTAAAATATCTTAAGGTATAAGGAGGCATTTTTAGAACCTTTCAACCGCAGGGATCATAAAAAAGAAATATACGTTCGGATTAATCGACATCAAGGTTTTGCCAACAAATTTCTAAAAATCGGTAAGAGAAAAGGCATACTTTTAAATTGATAAAGTGGCCGAAAAGAAATTTTCTCCTCGAGAAGTCCAGGTTTGAAATCCCTGTGATTGGAGTAATATTTTTTGTGAAAAATTCTTTGAGATACATCATTATTCAATTAACGCTAAATTTAATTTATGATATTACGTACTATTCCAGCTTTAGGATTTAAAAAAAATAAGGATGAAGTGAGATGCAAGACATAGGGATGATGTTTCTAAACATTGAACCCAATTGAAGTTTAATGTCATTGTGGTTAACTCTTGATACATTGCTTTCAAGAAATACTTCCAGAAAAAACTTACTCTTATTAGATTTTATTCATTGCATATTAGATATATTGAACATTGGCAAATGAAAAATTATAGGATCAAGATGAATATCCCACCGATTCAACAGCCAGGTGGTATGGGTGTGGGACAAATGGGACAGCCGGTAAATCCTCAGTTGCCCCAGAATCAACAACAGGCGCAACAAACGCAACAGCAACAAGTTCAGCAGCAACAGCAACAACAGCAGCAGCAACAACAGCAACAACAAACACAGGACAAACTTGATAATATCTCCAAAGTAAAATCTCTGGTTGGACCTTTGAGGGAATCATTAGCCATAGCTCTTAAAACTGCGGCGCAGACGTTGCATCAAAATAGCTTAGTCGATGTAGGAACCATGAAGGGTATAGAGCAGCCAGATCATCGATTTAACAAGAATATGGAAGAATTCTATTCCATTTGTGACCAGATAGAGCTGCATCTGAAGACCTCCGTGGAATGTCTGTCCCAGCATTCCAGTTCGGTTCGATACCTACCAATGTCCGTTATAACAACTCGCACCGACACGGTGAGCACGCAGGAGGGACCAGCGTTGTCTTATCCACAATTTCTAATGACAGTACGCGCGCAAGTGGCATATGCTCGCGAGATACATGACACTCTTATGTCTCATGCTCGTGTGATATCATCCGGCGAACAATCTTAATTTTTGTTAATTCTAGGAAAACGTTTCAAGTGCTCAGTAAAATAAGACATTATATAAAGTATTAAAACAATCGTATTCCGCAATCTAGTAATAAATATTTTTAGAAAATATTGACTATGAAGATGTTATTTAATAAATTATATGCAAACTGAAATATACACACATTGTTATGTGATTAATATACAGAGCAGTACACGAATATCATATTATTTAGTTATTCAGGTAATTAATTCTGTACCAGAGAAACACTCCTTGACGTTTTGTCCAGTTCTGGATCAATTTTGTTAAAAATAAATGTTTTGTACATATAAACCAAGTAATGCAACATTTTGTGTACTAGTCTAGATATAAGAAGAAATTGCTTAATTTTCTATGTACATAGGATGTCTTAAAGCCGATGAATAAGTTCGAAAAACATATATATTTGACGAAATGGATAAAATTAATAACTTTCAGATTTTCATCAAGCTCCCTACTTTAAATAGTAATATTTTCATTGGTATACTTTTATTACGGGAAAATCATCAATTACGATTTCAAAATCTACATACAAGCTGTAAGATATTTAATGACTTAAAAATTTCATGCATGATATAAATTGATGCGAGACAATTTTTCGATCATTCCCGTTTCAATATAGAATAACTTTAATCTCGGTTCAATTTACTCTTCATCCTGTTCTAAATTTTTGGAACTAAGAAAAGATGAAGAGTTAATTGAGCTGATATTAAAATTAAACTATATTAACGACGTCCTACCAATGTAAATTAACTTTAATCTTGATTCAATAATTTACTCTTCATTCTTTTCTAATTTTTAGAATTGAAACATGATGAGTTAGTTGAACCCCGAGATTAAAATGAAGCTGTATTGGTAAATCAATTGCGAAACGTAACGAATGTTTGTCGATCGCAAGTACAGTTTGTACGACAGCGTAACATATCGTCAACATCTCGTTTAGAGTTCCGTGAACGAGACGTTGTCTAAAGGCACGCACGTCCCACCCCCTTCGCCCCTCCACCCATTCTGATAATACCATGCCGAAAGTTTGCACGTAGCGAGGACGCGTCGTCGGCGGTACAATAAACTCGGAAGTAAAGTTTACATTCCGTAATACAGCTATACGGTCGGCCGCCGCGATTTGCGGTCACGTATAGCAGAAATGCAGATCGGTCAGGGGGGGCCGGAAAGGGCGGAAAGGCGTGCAGGAAGCGCTACTGTCAGTTGGATTGGTGTTTCGTAGCGGCGCGCCGTACGATCATTCGAAAAGGAAGGACCACCTCTGTTCACCATATTTGGCAAACTTTCCCTAATATGGTAACGTCTACTTCTAAATATGGCAGCCGGGGACGCCCTCTCGGCGCGCGATGTACCACTGCGCGGCGATACTCGTGGCCGAATATCGTCGAAACGAAGATACGTAGGGACGATCCGCCGATCGAACGGGACAGTACGAAGTCCGGGATATTTTTCGATATCGATTTCGGCGCGGATCCTCGTCCCGTGAGGGCCAGAGCGTTACGGTGGACTAGTTTTTAACGGCGTAGTCGGTGGACGGTGGGGGTAAGTTCGGGCCGCGCAGCGCAGCGCAGCGAGTCGACACGCGCGGAGGCATCGCGGCTGATCGGTGC